ACTGGTGAGACCAGAAGGGTTCGAGATGGTGCCGAGGTCCCACTACCAACCGCTCTGGAAAGGGTCCCCTCAGCATAACCTGGACAGAGTGGAAGAACATGTGGGGTGGAATGCAATATAGAGGGAGCATATAGGGGCCAGTCCAGAAAACACTGGTCAGAGAAGGGCTGATGGAAACCCAAGAATGCAGACCGTAAGCAGCCTTCCCGTCTGGAGACGAACTCACCCCTGGCTCAGTTTCCAGCCAGACGATAAAGGAGGAAGACAGCGACAGCTTGGACACCCTGGCGTATCGTAGACTCAGCAGCCTTTGGAGCTCAACGGGCAGCATTGACCCATGGACAGGGCTCAGGCGGGTTCAGAAAGGAGGACGGAATATCGTTGGGGGTCTTTACCTTCTTACACATTATTAGCATCATTGTCTGTATACTATTATGTTTTTACCCTCACCACCTTAGCGTGATTTAGTTTTTTATTGTTTTCTATTGGGTCTCCCAGCTGTGAAGCACAGGGGGAATGGAGGCATAATGATAATAGCAGATACAGGCGGATACAGGGAATGGGGGTAGTGGGCAGGAAAGGAAAGGGAATTTCGGGAGTAACTAATGAAGAGGGGCAGGGGGGTGGGGAGTACTAGAATGGATTGTGACTATATAAATCATCTTAAAGGCGATTTAACCATGGGGGCAGGGGCAGTGGGGTGGGGCGGGGCTGGATCTAACTGTACAATTCTCTGTGATATGACTAAATGACTGAACTATTGAATTATATGATATGTAAATTGCTTGCCAATAAAACTGTTGGAGAAAAAAATAAAGGAGGGATGTAAACAGGAAATACAGGGAGGAAATGAGATGAGTGACAGTACACTGTGTAGATTGTTAATAATGGCGTGACGTAAAAACATGAATGAATTGTTGAATGGGAAACTGAACTGCTCGTAAATATCCACACAATTAATAAAAAGTTAAAATAATAATAATAACTCCCTAGGAAAGCACAGCACCAATGCCTTTCATTTGAAGTTCTTCACAGCTATGCTGAATAATCATAGCCTGGGTTTAATGTTGCCATGCTTGTAAGGCATGGCCGGTTGAAAGTATGCTGTGAGTTTCCGTGTCAGTTACCAATCTTCACGGGTGGTGTTCAGTCCCACACACACCGCCTAACAAGAGCAAGGAAGGTGCAGCAGGGCCAGGCCAGGTGTCGTTCTGTTAAACACTGAGGTTTCTAGGAATCCGAACTGATTATCACTAACCGGGCCCGACACCCCACTCCCTGTCCCAAATGGCTCAGGACAACATTCAAGTGCCTGAACAGGTAACAAGTACCAAGGAGCAATATATCCTTTACATTGAAAATAGGGGACCTCTATCCAAATTCCTTTATAATTGGGTTGATGGGATATGACAAGTGATTAGCTCACCAAGAATTTTTAATAAAAAGAGAATTTTTGATAAAATCTTTTTTTAAAAAAAACAATAAACTACAAGGGATATTTTTCTAAGACCTCCTCATGCTGACATACTCTTTAGATTTCTGCGTTATAAAATGTCTGTTTATTACCCTATTAACCGCTAAAACTCTATAGGACATTAAGCATTTGAATGATTAATTTTTAGATTACCAGTCAATTCCAGGGAAGAAAAATGGGGCTTTCTACTTCATAAAGAGTGACAGTCTCAGAAATCCACAGGGCAGTTCTACCCTGTCCTACAGAGTCTCTATGAGCCAGAATCGCCTCGATGGCAGTCAGTCAATTCCAGGCAATGAATGAAAATGTTCCTTTATAATCAGAAAGTGTAGCCCTAAGGTGATGTTCATGTGATAATGAAACTTAAAAGTTCAAAAGAATATCTTTGCACACATACATAGGTACACACATGCATACACATACGTACACATACATACACACACAAATCGATATGGCATGATCTGGGGATAACAAGAAAATGGTAAGAAAGCCAAGGAGTTGATATTTTTTAAGTGAGAATACTAGCATTACATTTTTAATATGTGATATAAAACCCACAAAAAGCCCCTGGCATCAAGTGGATGCATAGTGATGCTACAGGACAGCGTAGAACGGCCCTGTGAGTGTCTGAGACGATCACTGTTAGGACGAGTAGAAAACCCTATCCTTCCCCTCCCCCACGGCCGACCTTGCAGCTCGCAGTCCACCTTGTAACCGCTATGCCATCAGAGACCCCCATGTAATAAGTGACCGCTTATAGTTATTTTAGAGTGGCAAGTGATTAGATTAGACACAAACTACAGAAACGTGGGCCAAAAAAACAAGAATCAAACTGAAAGGAGGCACGCAGCCGTAGAACCCGTGGCCACAGCACCCCAGCGCTTCTCAGTGGGTGCTACATCACAATGGAACACACGTCACCTAGGCCCCACTAACCCGTTAGGTTCCAGGGAGTCCACTGGCACGGTCATGCCAACAGGAGGTCCAGGGCCATGCAAGGGATGTCTGAAGAGGTCGGGTTTATGGACACTTTTTAAAAGCAATCACCCCATTCACAGAACCCAATGACACCATATGCACTGAGTGTTTAGCAAAAACTAACATTGCGACACTCAATGCCCCGGTCAGGATGTGAAAGTCACATACTTTTCAGCAATGGATAAAATGGCAATTCAATGATTTCTCAGGAGAATGGTGGTTAGAACAGAGTTCGTTGATGCCAGGTACTCTTTATACTGAAAGCACATAGAATGCCGGGAGAAGAACAAGCAAATCTGTCTTGGAGAAGGTAAAGCCAGCAGGGGGCTTAGAAGTGAGGCAGGTGAGTCATCTCATGTACTTCAGCAGTCCTATCAGCAGGGACCACTCCGGGGAAGGACACTGTGAAAGGTCAGTGAACAAGACAGCGGACCACACTCAGGATGAACGGGTGTGAGAGAAAAAGTAGGAGTTTTTGATGGGGAAATTTGTATATGTGTATTTACCTTTACTGAAAGTATATCCCTGAATGTGGTAGAGCCTGCAAGGGGGGGTGGGGGAAACTTATAAAAACGTCTCAGAAATAGGCAAATACCTTAAGGGAATGAATTGTTGGGCTTGGAAACTCAAGATCATAATCTCAGGGAAAACCCTGGTCAAGGGGCACAACACAGCTCATAAAGATACTCTTTTACATCCTACTTTGCTGAGTAGCGACTGGGGTCTCAAAGGCATTTAAGGTACAAATCTTGGTCTCTCGCCATACAGAGGAAAGAAGAGCAATGAAAATGGAAAAATGTGGGGAAAAATTCGTCCAAAGGACTAAAGGGTCCTATGAGCATCTGTCACCCCAGCGGTGAGACCAGAGCACCAGGTACCACTATCCACTGCTCTGAAAAGGGTCATAGCAGGGTATTCAGGCTCTAGTGGAAGGAAATGTGGATCAGAACTCAAAATTCTGAGACCAGAAGTATTCGTCGGATAGAGGCTGGGGGCAGCTGCCAGACTATGACCCTTAATCATCCTTCAGTCTCGAACTGAACTCACCCCCCACCCCCATGTTAGAATAACCAACCATGTAAAACCACCCAAGGACAGAGGGCTTGGGAAGGAAGCAGACAGAGAGCAAGAAACATGGGGAGGAAGTGGGATAAGCCATGATGCACTGCAGGAACGGAAAAGCGTGAGTTGAAACAAAATGTATATAAACGCTGAATGCATACAAAATTGAGGGCAACGTGCTAAAACTGATGGTGTTGATGATTGCACAACTCTCCTTGATGTGACTGAACCACTGAATTGTATGATCCATTCATCACATGTCAATAAAGCTGTTGGGGGGTGGAAATTACTGGATATAAAACTGATGATCTGCTCTGTAAACTTTATCTAAATCATAACACACAAAAAAGGTGATACAACTTACAGGGTACAACCAAAATAAACAGGTATTGAGAAAACCATTCAGCGAGGCAGTCCTTACCCATCCCCGCCTTGCAGCCAGCCCCTGCAGGTGTCTCTGACAGACGCCATATTTTACAACCCTCTGAAACAGACAGAACCCTGCCAAAAACGTCATCAAGCCAGGCATTTTCCTTCCACGGTAGTTCAGGATTTTAACTTTGACGGATGCTGCTTTTAACTCTGATTCCCAGGCAATTTAATTCGGTATATCCCTGTAACTCGCTGAGGAATACAGTCCATGCTACAATGACAATGGATGTAGGGGTGCGAACCTGCCCGTTCTGAGAACTGTATCCCCTACGCATGACCCCACAGCAGTGCTCCAGCCTGGGACAAAACGGGTGGCACAGCATACAAGTGAATCAAGATGTAATTCTTGGCTGGAAGCTCACTTTTCAAGAAGCTTTCAGAGCAACAACACAGAGCAAAAGGAAATCCGTGTCCCACACAGAGGATCACGGGGTGTTGAAGGTCATGGCATGCCTGGGGGAGAGCAGATGAGCTCTCATGTGTCAGATTTAGGAAGGCTTGGGTGACTAGGTGGAAGAAAGAAATCATGTGACTTGAAAAGCCAGGTATGAACATGAATGCTTCCGGGGGTGAGGAGGACCTCCCACCTTGCCTATGACTTAGCCTCCTATGTTGTAAGAAATCCAAAATCAGGCTGGGCAGGAAAACCAAGGCAAATTTTGAGGCCTTGAACGTACAAGGACCTGCTCGAATAAAACACCTGGCGTGGTTCCTGAGCGAGGGAAGCAGAGTCCGAAACAGCACAGGTCGTCCTTGACTTACAATGGGCTTCCATTCCCATGAGTCCATCATACGTTGGCTCTGATGTTTAAGTACAATGCCTCATTTCAAATCCCCCACTGAAGCTTTCTGGATACAAAGAGCCCAATAAGGTCACACTGCAGGCTTGGTCTACAAAGAAGTCAGAACCCGTATAGTATCAACAAAGTCAGAGCCATGATGGCTGTAAGACTGGGAATAATCGTGTGTACAATCTTACCTTTCCACTAGATTGAAATGTGTCCAGAGGGATGGGGTGTGGGCAAGACTAAAGGTACTAGCACAAACCACTTACAGCTGTCCACGCATGTCTTTTGCACCGGGCACACAGCCATCCAGCACAGACCTCGCGAGGAGGGGTACCATAACAACCTAAAAAATAAGATGTGGACCCACGCATTAGGTCTGTTGCATCTTTAAAATATTACACATCTCAACACTCAAATGAATAGAGCCGAGACAACTGCCTAGCATACTGAGTTTCAAATCCTACTTCTCGGAACCAAACATGGCAAGATTCTGTCAAAGATGCTTTGAGTTCTAAAGCTGTTTACCCAACAGATTAGTCCGTCCAAGGATCAACAAATGCGTGCTTCCTTCATAGTTGCTAATCCACAAACTAGTAGTCAGATGGATGGGGTTGCTACGTCTTCACCAGGAAATAACAAAATCATTAAGGTGTTGATCTGGTTCCTTTTCCCACTCACAGCAAATGCTGGGATATGTGGCAACCCAGGAATCAGAGGTTTAGGAAATGTAGTGCTAATACAATAATTAACCTTGGAAACTGCATAGTTAATGCAGTTTGAAATGACATTTCAAAGGCTAAGATAATTAGCATTAATTTCACGGATAGGAACAAAAGATGTACAACGTCTGGGTAGCAATGAAATGATCTCTTCAACTCAACTTTTGTCTTGCTTCCCCAAAATGAACTAAAAAGGAGGCTGACAATGCAAATAAAATAGATATGGGAATATCAGATACTTGGACTTCTTGAAATAAGAAGCTATTGAAAAAAATGTCGGTGATGAATTTTTAAATCAAAACGCTCTAATATGTGAAATGGGGATAGCAAATAAGGACGTGTCATTACCCCAAGAAAAGCCTATCATTATAAATCAAGGCCATGCAAACATGGGCTCAACTCTATGTTTATGAGGCCAAAGAATACTGGTAGCTAGTCAAGGAGTCAAGATGAAACATCAGTTGTCCTGGGTTTTTGTGCTTTCCTCGTGGGTACATTAAATAAGAAAACGTGACTGGATGAAGGGACTTCCAAAAGCTTACTGTAAGCCAAGAGGAACTTAACCAAGACCCTTTTTGCATCCCCCTCATATATGGGCATGTGTGTTCTAATCAGATTTAAACAAGAGGGCTGCATTTCCAACTCACGGTGTTCGTATCATGGAGGAAGCTGCTGAGTACCAAATTAACAAATAAATTATAGACAAGGAGCCTATTTCGAACATGATAGAAGACTTGAATCTTCTTGAGTTAACACCCAAACTCGCTGCCACCGAGCACGTCGACGCAGAGAAGTGCTGCCCGTGGGGCTTCCAAGACACGCTCTCTATGGAGGCAGCGGCTTCCTCTCTCTCTCATGAAGCAGCTGGTGAGTTTGAACTGCCAACCTTGTGATTAGCAACCTTGTATTTAGCCCACTATGCCACCAGGGCTCCTTAAGGTACTGAGCCCAGTAATAGGCAGATAATAAATGCAGACTTCATGGACAGAAGAAAGCGAGTGTACATTAGTTGGTTAGCAGAACATGTGATTTGGGGAGATTTGGAATGTTAAAACGAGTTGCAGCACACAAGAAACAGGTCCCTGTAAGTCAACATAGAGGATTTATGGGGCAGGTGAATGAGGATTATGTTTGTCCCTCATCCAATCACCTCTCTCTCTCTCTCTCTCTCTCACACACACACCACCAACAACAACAATAACAAGGACAGGAAACAGTGATAGAGCGAACTCCTCTTGGTCCTTGGGAGAAACTGTTGGTGTCCCCTTGCAGATGACAGATTTCTTCACCCTTATAAAGAATACCATTTGACTCAGGACAACAGTCATTCTGAGAATTACCAGAAGCACCAGAAGAATAGCCATTTTTCTTTAAGAAAAGCACGAGAATAAAGAGTCAGCAACCAACTACAGAGATTCAAGTTACGTAGTGACAGACTGGGCCTGGATTAATTCAAAGGCAAGCATGCAGCAGGGGCCCCGGGATGACACCGCGCTGGGGGAGTTGGCACTCCAGTTCCTCCCAGTGAAACAGCTGCTTCACACGGGTGCCCCGCCACCCAAGAGTCCACGTCTTGGGCCCGGACGTAACAAAACCAAACTACAATAGCCCCGCCCTCCATGAGGAAAAGGGATGCTGACTACCACTTATACTTTCCTTCCGAGAGACTGCCCTCTCAAAATCCCAAGAGTCCAATGGGATAAGCTCAAGACATTGCAAGGGCCTGGGCGAGACAGACAGACTACGTGAAGGACTGAACGAAAAATGCTTTTACTTGCGTGAACCTGCACCCGGCACTCGGCACAGGAGATGAGAAGGCTGGTCCCATCTTCTTCCAGAAAGGCTGTGGGTGGCGAGTACTTGCCGCTCCCTTCACTGTACATAAAACACATCTCTGGAATGAGCGGCTTAGTCTTTTCTCCTGAAGTGGCCACTTCATCTCCCTTTGCCTCCGATCCAGCGTCGTTTTCTTCACAGCTGTTGTCTGGCTGGAAAACAGACCATTGACACATGAGTGAGGGACCTGGAAGCGAGCGTCTCATTTGTTCTGGTCAATCAGACCCACTATCAGCTGCACCTTCTGACTCCTGTTCTTTCTCTTGACCTCTCCTTGAGCCACGTCTTATTACTCATCATGCCACCTTCTCAGACCCTCAGCTAGAAGCAAAGCTGCAGGCACTCCAGGAGGGGCTAAGTGCCTGTTCCTACAAGAAGGGGGCCAGCTACTGAAGCCATGACCTTGAGAAGCATCAACGCTTCTTTCTGATGAGCATTCCTGTGTGGCACTAAGCCAGCAGGCTGACCTTCCTTGACTGAAGAAGATTAGCTGGTACCACTGGAATGAGTGTTTTCAATGACCCCTGTTTTCATCAGAGGGACAGTGTGGGGAGAAAGGCTCTTGCCTCATTGCAGAGACTCGGAACCTTACAGAAAGAGCTACATCCGACGGCTGAGTGTGCAAGGGCACTTTTGCCATCTCTCTCCCAAGATATAGAAAACTTGTGTTTGAAATTATAAGGCATGAACAGCTTTTATATATTTTCCACAGATCCCAAATGAATGCATTGCTCAAACTCTCTGTTTGAGTTGGACTTGCTTAATTACCAGGAAAATAAACAAGCAGCTAAAGGTACAGACGTTAAACAGTCACAAAGTTGAACATCGTCCTAACAAGCACATAGAAATTTCAGGTCTGGAAGGAAAATGCAATGCTGTCACTCACCAGTGCTCCCTTCAAAGATCTCCAGTGAGGAAATTGCTGCTCTGGTTACAGTGCTCTGAAAACACCACGTCTTGTTGGCATATAACATATCCATGCACAAAAATGAGCGCCTGCATCACACGCATACATAGGACACCGATGCCTGAGAGGGCTGTGTCGCTTACCAAAACCAAGTAACCCCTGTGCTCTGTGCAAAAGAACATGGCTTCATATATCACACATGCTCATGCTCCAAAGCACTTGAAGAGACGGGTGCTGGCTTTACATAGAACTTTACAGAGAGATGGGATCTTGAATAAAATATCCTGGTTCATTTATCAAAAATATGACCCCAAACATGAAGGTCATATCAATATGCGATGTAGCAGATTGCTGTTACTGCTGTGGTTGCTAGGTGCCACCAAGTCAATTCTGACTCGCAGCAGCCCTGTGGACGACAGAAGGAAACACTGCTTGGTCCTGCACCACCCTCACAATGGTTGCTATGTTTGAGCCCGCTGTTGCAGCCGCTGTGTCCGTCCATCTCCACAGTCCGTGATGTAATCTACTGGACCTCAAAACACGCCATGTAGGTGTACACACTTCGTGCATTCCTAGGGAATATCTTGCCTATGTTAGTGCAGGCTCATGGAGAACATGAGCTACATGACCGGAGCAGCCATCGGTGCAACGTGCATGGAACGAAGGCACCCAGCACGTTAAGTCCAGCCAGCCAATGACGGCCAATCGGATCATCCACCTTGAAAGGGCCTGACGGGTTCTCTGTGCGTCCCACGCAAGAAAGGGCAAAAGATGGTGGAAATGTGGACCCAGTTGACGTCTGAGTTATTTGAGAGACTGAAGTTTTCAACGTAAAAATGAAAGCGGATCTAACCTCCCTTTGAACGTTTCTATCATTTTGAAGCTTTTATGGTCTATTTCTTGGTGAAAGAGGAAGGGAAAAAGTTAGGAATTGACACATCCCTAAAAAAGCTAGGTGATTTACCAAAAAAAAATTCTGTCTGGGAGCTGGCACCTCTCAAGCAACACTCAGAAACTGTGGGCTGCCCTGCGAACACTGCTGGTGACGGAGAATCGAGGCCTTCCTAGGAAAGCTGTGGGCGGCAGGAATCTGTGTCCCCCGGCTTTCTGTGCCTGCTAATGCTACAGAGACTCCCGGGTAGCCAGTTGGGGGTAGAGGCACACAGAAAAGGCAGCCGTGTCCACTCTCTCTTACCTTGTAGTAGGGCATGAGCAGAGTGCAGATAGCACAGTAAGGCGCCCTTTTGGCCATGGCTGCATTGTATTCTTGCTCAGCGACAAAATTTGGGGACCTTGTCTGCCAAATGGGCACCAGAGGCTTCGCCCAAGATTCCGTTTCTTGCATTTCCTCCTCAGCTGAGGGCACTTTGGGCACATCTGTAAAGAGAGAGGGCATGGAAACCCAGTGAATAGGAAGAACAATACCCATAACAGAAAAGCAGCATCCGATAACAGAAAAACACTACACTATAGCAGGAAAACAACACCCTGTAACAGAAGAACACCACCCTGTAACAGAAGAACACCACCCTGTAACAGAACAACACCCTATCGCAGAAGAACAACACCTTATAGCAGGAAAACAACACCCTGTAACAGAACAACACCACCCTGTAACAGAACAACACCCTATCACAGAAGAACACCCTATAGCAGAAAAACAACAACCTGTAACAGAAGAATACCACCCTGTAACAGAACAACACCCTATCGCAGAAGAACACCTTATAGCAGGAAAACAACACCCTGTAACAGAACAACACCTTGTAACAGAACAATACCCTATCACAGAAGAACACCCTATCGCAGAAAAACAACACCCTATCACAGGAAAACAACACCCTGTAACAGAAGAACACCACCCATGGCTATAACAGAAGCAAATATCCAAAACGCTTGATGCCAGCAAACAGAGGTATTTTGTCTTCCACATACAACCTGAAAGACTTGAAACAAAGGGAATTTGCTTCTCATCCTGCCCAAGCTTCGAGAATCAACAGTATAGGTGTATGGGGGTTGACCTGAGTTGGGGGTTGACAGGTACCTACAAAACTCTAGCACAGAAACTCTACAACACGCAATGGAAGTCTCACTATCGAAGAGGTAAATGAGAAGGTAATCCTGGTCATTAAATGTCACTTGTTTTCTACCTCAGGGTATTATCAGCGAAGAATGCTCAGCCATAGATAGCTGTTGCTACAACTCTAACACAAACACAAAACTAACACTAGCACAAGAGATTATAATTTTTATTATATATAACAATATAACTAACAAACAAATGGAGCTTCTTGGCCATTTGGACTGGGTTAAGCCGTGTGAGAGTGACACTTTTGAGGTCCAGAAAGCCTTGGTCATTGGAAAATATAAATGGTCCCGCCTAATATATTGGGGATATAGAATATCCCAAATTACACACATCCCTTAGGTTGGGCAAAAGTTAGTGTGAAATGGTCTCACGCTTTTCAGGGCTGGCAGGAATGCGCTCTGAAGGCTGAAAATCAAGAGACAAGGAGAGAGAAGTAACGGTGCTGAGGGCAATGGGCTGTGCTGGCCCGGCCCTCCACTCCGTCCTGTGGCCAAGGGGAGTCCTGGTGGGGTGGTGCTTAGGCACTGGGCTGTTAACCACAAGATCAGCAGTTTGAAACTAGCAGCTGCTCCTGAATACAGAAATGGGGGGGGTTGGCGGAAAGGAAGGACGCTTCCACAAAGTATAGCTAACCTGGGAAGTGTTATCACCCCTCAAACCAGGCTTTCTGGCTACAATAGTGCCTGAGAGAGCTGGACCTGGTATTTCTGATTCCTGCAAGGGTTCCAGCTCGGTCAGAGTGCACGCTGACTGTTTCTCTATCGCCCTCTAGCAGGGGGCTTCAAAAAGTCCATGGGAAAATCCCATCACCTTGACATTCTATTTCTCCATGAATTTTCTGAAATCACCTCGTATTGGTGAGGTTTTTTGGTTTTTGGTTTTCGTCCCTGATATGTCCTTCTTACTTAGATTCTAGCTCTCACAGAGTTTACTGTATATTCTTGACAAGGATAAAGGAAGAACTAATAATAAATAAACGCTATTTATTATTCCTGGTGGCACAGTGGGTTAGCAAGATCAGTAGTTCAACCCACCAACCGCTCCTCAGGAGAACGACAAAGTTTTCTACTCCCATAAAGATTTAGTCTCTGAAACCCACGGGGTCACTATGTCCTTGTATGGTCACTGTGGATTGGAACCAACTCAGTGGCAGTGAGCATATTTTATTATTACATGTAGTATAAATCACAGTGATTCGCCAACCTACTTGGAATCATCTGACTTCGTGCCACGCTGTTCTTCAATCTCAGTCACTTCATCAGGTTGAGGAGGTCATGAGCTCTCCCCTGGTTATGGGAGTCGGTGACAGCACCTGAGAGTCCTTACTACACATGATCCTCACTGCAGGGAGCCCCCGGGGATACACCTCAATCCACACGCCACTTGGTGAGGAGGAAAGGGGTCCCAGAAAAGTTGGGGGCTCAAAGAATCCTAAACAGTTTGCAGTTCTAAAAAGAAAGTCAAATTTGTGGAAATTCACTTAAGAAACTTTAGCTGTTTGGGGAATCTCAAAAGAGAACAAGGAAGAAGAAAACATTTGAAAGACTTATTATAGTAATAATTGTGCAACTCTTCTGGATGAGTTTTAAAATACTGAACTATATGTGAATTACACAACAAAAAAAGTGTTTGAAAATGTATTTAAATTTAAAATGTGGGGTATTCTCCATGATGTCGACAGCCAATGATTTCTACAAATTAATCATGTACCCCAGAGTGTGGGCTGTGTGACTGTGTGTGTATAATGTTAGTAGTTGTGTAGAGACACGGCTTTCTCTTATCTACATAGTTGGATATTTACAGCGAGTTGTTTTCTGTACCAAGAAATATACATCTTTGAAAACAAAAAGATACATGTAAAGTGTATATAAGTAAAAAGCCAAATTGAAATAATGTGTGTTTATATAAAGGTGGTAACATCTTACAATTTATGGTGAAAAATGTACAGGGAAATGATAGAATAAATGTGTCCCCAAACCATCGTAAGGTTTTTCTCTGTGGTCTATAAAAATGGATATTAAATGATTCGGAGGGAGCCACCGCCACACGGGGAGAGTGCTGACCTGCCCCTGTTACAGTAAGCACATTCACCTGTTGTCTACACCAGAAACCATTCTGGTGGCTCGGGGTGAACAGTGTGAGCTCGGTCAATAAGCTGGAGCTAAAATAATGGTTCCTGCATGCAACTGGTGTGACCGTCCAGGCTGTCTGTCATCCTAACCTTCCAGTTGCACCAGCTGCAAAATGACTACAAGTTTCCCTAAATGACAGGGTTCTGAGCAGTTTGTATGAGATGCCAGCAATGAAGCTGCTGTGTATTACGACCCTTCAGTAAAACCAAAACCACCTCCCTCCAACCCCCACCCCACCCCCACCCCC